TCCTGTTTTGGGTAGTGGACCCCAAACTAATCAGGCGAGTGGTAGTAGACCTAATACCAACTTATAGGTGGTAGGGGACCCCATATCCATTCTGGGAAGATAGTGGTCCTTATGACCATCTTATTGGTGGTGGTGGACCCCATACCCATCCTGTGGGTGGAAGTGGACCCGATACCAATCCCGTTGGGGGTAGTGGAACCCATACCCATCTGGCGATTAGCAGTAGACCTAATACCATCACGCTAATAATACCATCCTACTGTCCTAATAGTGGACATCATACCCATCCTGTGGGTGGTAATGGACACCATAAACATCATGCTGATTAATGGACTCAATGTTGGTGACATGAGTCACCAACACTAGGGGGGGTGTACTATGTTGCTCCTTACATGAGCCACCAACACACTAGGGGGTGTACTATGATGGTCGAGGCATGAGTCACCAATACACTAGAGGGGGGGGGGTGTACTATGATGGTCGTGGCATGAGTCACCAACACACTAGAGGGGGGTGTACTATGATGGTCGTGGCATGAGTCACCAACACACTAGGGGGTGTACTATGATGGTCGTGGGATGAGTCACCAACACACTAGGGGGTGTACTATGATGGTCGTGACATGAGTCACCAACACACTAGGGGGTGTACTATGATGGTCGTGGCATGAGTCACCAACACACTAGGGGGTGTACTATGATGGTCGTGGCATGAGTCACCAACACACTAGGGGGTGTACTATGATGGTCGTGGCATGAGTCACCAACACACGAGGGGGGGGGGGGGGTGTACTATGATGGTCATGGCATGAGTCACCAACACACTAGGGGGGGGTGTACTATGACGGTCGAGGCATGAGTCACCAACACACTAGGGGGGGGTGTACTATGATGGTCGAGGCATGAGTCACCAACACACTAGGGGAGGTGTACTATGATGGTTGTGGCATGAGTCACCAACACACTAGGGGGTGTACTATGATGGTCGTGGTATGAGTCACCAACACACTAGGGGGGGTGTACTATGTTGCTCCTTACATGAGCCACCAACACACTAGGGGGTGTACTATGATGGTCGAGGCATGAGTCACCAATACACTAGAGGGGGGGGGTGTACTATGATGGTCGTGGCATGAGTCACCAACACACTAGGGGGGGGGTGTACTATGATGGACGTGGCATGAGTCACCAACACACTAGGGGGTGTACTATGATGGTCGTGGGATGAGTCACCAACACACTAGGGGGTGTACTATGATGGTCGTGACATGAGTCACCAACACACTAGGGGGTGTACTATGATGGTCGTGGCATGAGTCACCAACACACTAGGGGGTGTACTATGATGGTCGTGGCATGAGTCACCAACACACTAGGGGGTGTACAATGATGGTCGTGGCATGAGTCACCAACACACTAGGGGGTGTACTATGATGGTCGTGGCATGAGTCACCAACACACTAGGGGGGGGGGGGTGTACTATGATGGTCGTGGCATGAGTCACCAACACACTAGGGGGGGGGTGTACTATGACGGTCGAGGCATGAGTCACCAACACACTAGGGGGGGGGGGGTGTACTATGATGGTAGAGGCATGAGTCACCAACACACTAGGGGGGGTGTACTATGATGGTCGTGGCATGAGTCACCAACACACTAGGGGGTGTACTATGATGGTCGTGGTATGAGTCACCAACACACTAGGGGGGGTGTACTATGATGGTCGAGGCATGAGTCACCAACACACTAGGGGGGGGGTGTACTATGATGGTCGTGGCATGAGTCACCAACACACTAGGGGTGTACTATGATGGTCGAGGCATGAGTCACCAACACACTAGGGGGGGGGGTGTACTATGATGGTCGAGGCATGAGTCACCAACACACTAGGGGGGGGGTGTGTACTATGATGGTCGTGGCATGAGTCACCAACACACTAGGGGGGGTGTACTATGATGGTCGAGGCATGAGTCACCAACACACTAGGGGGGGGGTGTACAATGATGGTCGTGGCATGAGTCACCAACACACTAGGGGGGTGTACTATGATGGTCGAGGCATGAGTCACCAACACACTAGGGGGGGGGGGGTACTATGATGGTCGAGGCATGAGTCACCAACACACTAGGGGGGGGTGTACTATGATGGTCGTGGCATGAGTCACCAACACACTAGGGGGTGTACTATGATGGTCGAGGCATGAGTCACCAACACACTAGGGGGGGTGTACTATGATGGTCGTGGCATGAGTCACCACCACACTAGGGGGGGGTGTACTATGATGGTCGAGGCATGAGTCACCAACACACTAGGGGGGGGTGTACTATGATGGTCGTGGCATGAGTCACCAACACACTAGGGGGGGTGTACTATGATGGTCGTGGCATGAGTCACCAACACACTAGGGGGGGGGGGTGTACTATGATGGTCGTGGCATGAGTCACCAACACACTAGGGGGGGGGTATACTATGATGGTCGTGGCATGAGTCACCAACACACTAGGGGGGTGTACTATGATGGTCGAGGCATGAGTCACCAACACACTAGGGGGGGGGGTGTACTATGATGGTCGAGGCATAGGTCACCAACACACTAGGGGGGAGGGGTGTACTATGATGGTCGAGGCATGAGTCACCAACACACTAGGAGGGTGTACTATGATGGTCGTGGCATGAGTCACCAACACACTAGGAGGTGTACTATGATGGTCGTGGCATGAGTCACCAACACACTAGGGGGGGTGTACTATGATGGTCGAGGCATGAGTCACCAACACACTAGGGGGGGGGGGTGTACTATGATGGTCGTGGCATGAGTCACCAACACACTAGGGGGGGTGTACTATGATGGTCGTGGCATGAGTCACCAACACACTAGGGGGAGTGTACTATGATGGTCGAGGCATGAGTCACCAACACACTAGGGGGGGTGTACTATGATGGTCGAGGCATGAGTCACCAACACACTAGGGGGGGTGTACTATGATGGTCGAGGCATGAGTCACCAACACACTAGGGGGGGGTACTATGATGGTCGTGGCATGAGTCACCAACACACTAGGGGGGGGTGAACTATGATGATCGAGGCATGAGTCACCAACACACTAGGGGGGGGTGTACTATGATGGTCGAGGCATGAGTCACCAACACACTAGGGGGGGGTGTACTATGATGGTCGAGGCATGAGTCACCAACACACTAGGGGGGGGGTGTACTATGATGGTCGAGGCATGAGTCACCAACACACTAGGGGGGGGTGTACTATGATGGTCGTGGCATGAGTCACCAACACACTAGGGGGGGTGTACTATGATGGTCGAGGCATGAGTCACCAACACACTAGGGGGTGTATTATGATGGTCGAGGTATGAGTCACCAACACACTAGGGAGGGGGTGTACTATGATGGTCGTGGCATGAGTCACCAACACACTAGGGGGGTGTACTATGATGGTCGAGGCATGAGTCACCAACACACTAGGGGGGGGTGTACTATGATGGTCGTGGCATGAGTCACCAACACACTAGGGGGGGGTGTACTATGATGGTCGTGGCATGAGTCACCAACACACTAGGGGGTGTACTGTGATGGTCGTGGCATGAGTCACCAACACACTTGGGGGGGTGTACTATGATGGTCGTGGCATGAGTCACCAACACACTAGGGGGGATGTACTATGATGGGTGAGGCCTGAGTCACCAACACACTAGGGGGGGTGTACTATGATGGTCAAGGCATGAGTCACCAACACACTAGGGGAGGGGTGTACTATGATGGTCGAGGCATGAGTCACCAACACACTAGGGGTGGGGTGTACTATGATGGTCGAGGCATGAGTCACCAACACACTAGGGGGGGGGTGTACTATGATGGTCGAGGCATGAGTCACCAACACACTAGGGGGGGGGTGTACTATGATGGTCATGGCATGAGTCACCAACACACTGGGGGGGGGGGGGTGTACTATGATGGTCGTGGCATGAGTCACCAACACACTAGGGGGGGTGTACTATGATGGGTGAGGCCTGAGTCACCAACACACTAGGGGGGGGTGTACTATGATGGTCGAGGCATGAGTCACCAACACACTAAGGGGGGTGTACTATGATGGTCGAGGCATGAGTCACCAACACACTAGGGGGGGGTGTACTATGATGGTCGTGGCATGAGTCACCAACACACTAGGGGGGGGTGTACTATGATGGTCGAGGCATGAGTCACCAACACACTAGGGGGTGGGGTGTACTATGATGGTCGAGACATGAGTCACCAACACACTAGGGGGTGGGGTGTACTATGATGGTCGTGGCATGAGTCACCAACACACTAGGGGGTGGGGTGTACTATGATTGGTCGATGCATGAGTCACCAACACACTAGGGGGTGTACTATGATGGTCGAGGCATGAGTCACCAACACACTAGGGGGTGGGGTGTACTATGATGGTCGAGGCATGAGTCACCAACACACTAGGGGATATTTAATAGTGTCGACGGTTATGTTGAGATGATTTCGGGCTTTAGTGTCCCCGCGGCCCGGTCCTCGATCAGGCCTCCACCCCCAGGAAGCTGCCCAAGAAAGCTAACTATCTCCCAGGTACCTATTTACTGCAAGGCAACACGGGGTATCTGGGTGAAAGAAAGTCTGCCCATCGTTTTTCGCCGGCGCCCAGGATCAAACCCGGGACCAAAGGATCACGCGCCTAGTGTTGTGTCCGCTCAGCCACCGGCTCCCTAAATACGGTGATAACAAGAGGTGCAGGATGATGTTGATAGCTTGCAAATTTAAAAAACAAATATTTTATCTGTAGACATGTGTTGTTCACTAAATTTGTTACTTAACTATAGATTACAAACCACCTCATCAACAGCCAGTGACGACTGAGCGTGACAATATGTGGAATTCGCGGTGCCAGGCGAGGCAAATGATGTATCTAGTGACAGCTGGCACTGTCATGGCGTGCCAGAACGAGCCTCAAGGTCGAATCAGTTAACAGTTGAGACTGTTTAGTGAGGAGAGACGGGCAGCTGCCTCGCCTCCGACGACCAACCTCGTTAGCAGTAAGCCATTAGCAATTGTACATGTAGCAGCGTCTGTCGTAACACCCACGTTGACACCCACGTTGTCACGTGACATGCACTCGTGCTACTGAAACAAGTTTGAACCTGGTTAAAATGTGGAGAGAATATCTACAGTGTGAATGTTTGGAATGACTATACGGTGGTAATGTTGGTGCACTGGTGGTAATGAGAGATAAGGTATCGTATTGATGTGAAGGTTGAGATTATTGTGGGAGAAGGGTGTTGTTGATACTCTGGTCCCTCCCGCCCCCACACGGACCCCACACCACACTCTGGACCCACACGGACCCCACACCTTACCCTGGTCCCACACGGATCCCACACCACACTCTGGTCCCACACGGACCACACACCTTACCCTGGTCCCACACGGAACCCACACCACACTCTGGTCCCACATGGACCCCACACCTTAACCTGGTCCCACACGGACCCCACACCACAGCCTGCACCCACACGGACCCCACACCACATTCAGGTCCCACACGGAACCCACACCACACCCTGCCCCCACACGGATCCTACACCACACCCTGCCCCCACACGGACCCTACACCACATTCTGCCCCCCACACGGACCCCACAACCCACCCGGCCCCACACGGACCCCACACCACACCCAGGTCCCACACGGACCCCACACCACACCCTTCCCCCACACGAACCCAACACCTCTCCCTGGTCCCTCGCAGACCCCACACCTCACCCTGGTCCCACATGGACCCCACACCACACCCTGGTCCCACATGGACCCCACACCACACCCTGGTCCCACTCGGACCACACACCTTACCCTGGTCCCACACGGACCCCAAACCTTACCCTGGTCCAACACGGAACCCACACCACACCCTGGTCCCACATGGACCCCACACCACACCCTGGTCCCACACGGACCCCACACCACACCCTGGTCCCACATGGACCCCACACCAGATCCTGGTCCCACACAGACCCCAAACCTTACCCTGGTCCCACACGGACCCCAAACTTACCCTGGTCCCACACGGACCCCAAACCTTACCCTGGTCCAACACGGAACCCACACCACACCCTGGTCCCACACGGACCCCACACCACACCCTGCCCTCACTCGGACCCCACACCACACCATGCCCCCACACGGACCCCACACCACACCCTGCCCCCACACGGACCCTACACCACATTCTGCCCCCACACGGACCCCACACAACACCCTGCCCCCACACGGACCCCACACCACACCCTGCCCGAACATGGACCGCAAACCACACCATGGTCCCGCACGGACCCAACACCACACCCTGGTCCCACTCGGACCTCCACACCACACACTGGTCCCACACGGACCCCAAACCACACCCTGGTCCCACACGGACCCAACACCACACCCTGGTCCCACACGGACCCCACACCACACCCTGTTCCCACATGTACCCCACAAACACCCTGGTCCCACTCGGACCTCCACACCTCCCCCTGGTCCCACACGAACCCCACACCACACCCGGGTTCCACACGGACCCCACACCACACCCTGGTCCCAAACGGAGGCCACACCACATCTTGCCCCCACATGGACCTCACACCACACCTTGCCCCCACACGGACCCAACACTACACCCTGCCCCCACACCACACCCTGGTCCCAGACGGACCCCACCTCACACCCTGCCATCACACACACACCCCACACCACACCCTGCCCCCACACGGACCCCACACCACACCCTGCCCCCACACGGACCCCACACCACACCCTGGTCCCAGACGGACCCCACCCCAAACCCTGCCCCCACATGGACCCCACACAACACCCTGCCCCCACACGGACCCCACACCACACCCAGGTCCCACACGGACCCCACACCACACCCTGACCGCACACGGACCCCACACCACACCCTGGTCCCACACGGATCCCACACCACAACCTGGTCCCACACGGACCCCTTACCACACCCTGGCCCCACTCGGACCCCACACCACACCTTGGTCCCAAAGGACCCCACAGAACACCCTGGTCCCACACAGACCCCACACCAGACTCTGGTCCCACACGGACCCCACACTACATCTTTCCCCCACACGGACCCCACACCACACCATGGTCACACACGGACATCATACCACACCCTGCCCCCTCACGGACCCCACACCACACCCTGGTCCAACACGGACCTCACACATACCCTGGTCCCACAGGGACCCCACACCACACCCTGGTCCCACACGGACACCACACCACACCACACCCTGCCCCCACACGGACCCAACACCACACCCTGGTCCCACACGGAACCCACACCTCACCCTTCCCCCACACGGACCCCACACCACATCCTGCCACGACACGGACCTCACACCAAACCTTGGTCCCAAAAAGACCCCACACAATACCCTGGTCCCACACGGACCCCATACCACACACTGGCCCCACACGGACCTCACACCACACCCTGGTCCCCCACGGGCCCTTCACCAAACCCTGGTCCCACTCGGACCCCACTTATTACCCTGGTACCAAACTGACCCAACACCACACCCTGGTCCCACATGGACCCCACACCACACCCTGGTCCCACACGGACCCCACACCTCACCCTGGTCCCACGGACCAAACACCACACCCTGCCCCCACACGGACCCCACACCACACCCTGGTCCCACACGGACCTCACACCTCACCCTGGTCCCACATGGACGCCACACCACACCCTGGTCCAACACAGACCCCACACCACACCCTGGTCCCACACGGATCCCACACCACACCCTGGTCCCACACGGACCCCACACCACACCCTGGTCCCACACGGACCCCACACCACACCCTGGTCCCACACGGACCCCACACCACACCCTGCCCCCACACGGACCCCACACCACACCCAGGTCCCACACGGACCCCACACCACACCCTGCCCGCACACGGACCCCACACCACACCCTGGTCCCACACGGACCCCACACCACACCCTGGTCCCACACGGTCCCCACACCACACCCTGGCTGCACACGGACCCCAAACCACACCCTTTCCCCACACGAACCCCACACCACACCCAGGTCCCACACGGACCCCACACCACACCCTGCCCGCACACGGACCCCACACCACACCCTGGTCCCACACGGACCCAACACCACACCCTGGTTCCACACGGACCCCACACCACAGCCTGCACCCACACGGACCCCACACCACATTCAGGTCCCACACGGAACCCACACCACACCCTGCCCCCACACGGATCCTACACCACACCCTGCCCCCACACGGACCCTACACCACATTCTGCCCCCCACACGGACCCCACAACCCACCCTGCCCCACACGGACCCCACACCACACCCAGGTCCCACACGGACCCCACACCACACCCTTCCCCCACACGGACCCAACACCACACCCTGGTCCCATACGACCCCACACCACACTCTGGTCCCACACGAACCCAACACCTCTCCCTGGTCCCTCGCAGACCCTACACCTCACCCTGGTCCCACATGGACCCCACACCACACCCTGGTCCCACATGGACCCCACACCACACCCTGGTCCCACTCGGACCACACACCTTACCCTGGTCCCACACGGACCCCAAACCTTACCCTGGTCCAACACGGAACCCACACCACACCCTGGTCCCACATGGACCCCACACCACACCCTGGTCCCACACGGACCCCACACCACACCCTGGTCCCACATGGACCCCACACCACATCCTGGTCCCACACAGACCCCAAACCTTACCCTGGTCCCACACGGACCCCAAACCTTACCCTGGTCCAACACGGAACCCACACCACACCCTGGTCCCACACGGACTCCACACCACACCCTGGTCCAACACGGACCCCAAACCTTTCCCTGGTCCCACACGGACCCCACACCACACCCTGCCCTCACTCGGACCCCACACCACACCATGCCCCCACACGGACCCCACACCACACCCTGCCCCCACACGGACCCTACACCACATTCTGCCCCCACACGGACCCCACACAACACCCTGCCCCCACACGGACCCCACACCACACCCTGCCCGAACATGGACCCCAAACCACACCATGGTCCCGCACGGACCCAACACCACACCCTGGTCCCACTCGGACCTCCACACCACACACTGGTCCCACACGGACCCCAAACCACACCCTGGTCCCACACGGACCCAACACCACACCCTGGTCCCACACGGACCCCACACCACACCCTGTTCCCACATGTACCCCACAAACACCCTGGTCCCACTCGGACCTCCACACCTCCCCCTGGTCCCACACGGACCCCACACCACACCCGGGTTCCACACGGACCCCACACCACACCCTGGTCCCAAACGGAGGCCACACCACATCTTGCCCCCACATAGACCTCACACCACACCTTGCCCCCACACGGACCCAACACTACACCCTGCCCCCACACCACACCCTGGTCCCAGACGGACCCCACCTCACACCCTGCCAGCACACACACACCCCACACCACACCCTGCCCCCACACGGACCCCACACCACACCCTGCCCCCACACGGACCCCACACCACACCCTGGTCCCAGACGGACCCCACCCCACACCCTGCCCCCACATGGACCCCACACAACACCCTGCCCCCACACGGACCCCACACCACACCCAGGTCCCACACGGACCCCACACCACACCCTGACCGCACACGGACCCCACACCACACCCTGGTCCCACACGGATCCCACACCACAACCTGGTCCCACACGGACCCCTTACCACACCCAGGCCCCACTCAGACCCCACACCACACCTTGGTCCCAAAGGACCCCACAGAACACCCTGGTCCCACACAGACCCCACACCAGACTCTGGTCCCACACGGACCCCACACTACATCTTTCCCCCACACGGACCCCACACCACACCATGGTCACACACGGACCCCATACCACACCCTGCCCCCTCACGGACCCCACACCACACCCTGGTCCAACACGGACCTCACACATAC